CACTTCCTCTTCCAGGCTCCGGCGGCGCAGGGTCCAGAGGCATGGGGGCTGCCCGAAGCTGGTAGCGCTCGGGCAGCCCGGCTCTTAAACAGAGCCGAAGAGTCAGGGGAGGAGCAGAGCCTCTGGCCGCGGGAGGGGAAGTGCCTGGCCGGCATTTTCCCGGACATGTTCGGCTTTTTGGCAATTCCCTCCGGACGGGGGTTTGAGTGCCGAAAAGCCGGACATGTCCGGGAAAAAGAGGACGTATGGTAACCCTAGGGGAGGGGCTCAGTTTCTGAGGCTGATGGAGCCTGGCGCTGGGAACTCCTGTTCAGCCCTCTCTGGTCCCTCCCTTGCTAACAGAGGATCGTGCCCTACAGCACAGTTAGTAGTGTTTTATCCAGAATACAGAGTGAGACATGGGGCCTGGGACTGAACGACCTTGAACTTTGGGAATGTCCAAAATCCCAACTCAAATCCAGCACAGGATGTTGCAAATGGCCCATCTTTTTCTCATAGGTTGAACCAAAGCTGCCCTGAAAACGTTGGTACGTTCCCAATCCAGGTGCAAATCCATTACTGTTTAGACTGACGCGGCTGTAGGCTCGAGTCCCTTTTAAGTAATCAATGGTTTCCTGTTTCCTTGGCTTTTCAGTATTACTGCTGCAAGAAGGAGGAATCTGAAGAGGATGAGGAGGAGCCAGATTTTGCCGTGCATTCCCACATCCCTCCGCTTCACAGCAACCGCAATGTAGTGCTGACCAATGGGCCTTCGCTCTACTCCTCCTCCTCCTCACCCTTCAGCAAACAGCACTCCCAGTGCAGGACTGTCTGCCCTAGTTGTACCCACTATGATCCACCTACCTTCTTTCTGCAGCAGCCGGATGAGGTCCACAATGGAGGCGACCGGGTCAGCTACAAGACCATCAGCCAGGAAGATATTGAACTGCCGGTGAACGTGACCAACCTGCAAGCTCTGAACCCCAACCGGCTGTCAGCCATGCGAGAAGCTTTCTCGCGCAGTCGGAGCATAAGCACCGACGTCTGAGTGGCTGGAGCCCCACACCGGTGGGCTGCCCGGCAAATGACCCCTCAGCGTGAGGCTTTTTCTATGCCGTTGTGGCTTTTAACAACGGTGAAACTTTTAAAATCCATGGAAGTGTTTTAAAATGATGAATGTATTTATACATTAGATAGGCATATAAATATACTAAATCACTAGGTAAAGGGTAAGCAAAAAAAGCCAGAGAGAGATGGTTGTAGAGGTTGCAGCTTGTATGTGGTAGGTTTTCTAGCGCTGTACATTGAAAATGTTTTCTTTTTATACTGAGGAGATTTTGATATTGTGCATCCTTTCCTACACCTAAAAAGGGCCCTCCATACCCATCATCGACAATTGCTATGGGGTAGTTTGCAATCTTAAAGGCAGGTTTCCTGCAATGGCTGACAAAGCGGACGAGCACTGCACAGGTGAATAGGACTCGACAGCCTCTTTTTGTGGATGAAATTCACCACCCCCCCACAGGGGACCTGCAACCAGGTCTCTGCACCACTGATGGCCTCAAAGCAGGACCAACTGGGATTTTGTCACGCAGAGTCTTGTGCAGTCTCTCTAGATAGGGGTGAATTTCCTAGATCAGCTTAATTTACTGGTTAGTAAATCCTAACGGTTATCCATGAGCTTTCTATGAAGCCGGCGCTCTCTGTCTCCCTCTTTTTGGGCACAAGTGCTGAAGGGAAGTGCCTTGAGGTTAAGGATGCACAACTCTTGTAAAGTCTCTTCCTTTAGTGGAGGTCCCCAGAGCTGAAATGTATCAGGCATCTGGAATCTATGGAAAGTATTTTTTTAAATAGCACATGCAAGAACTTTCAGGTTTTTCTGTAACGGGAGAACAGTGCACTGAGCAGTTTTGGTTTTGCAAATATTACCAAAAAACCCCAACAATGCCACACGCTCTTTCTAAACTGGGGAAATGAGGGCTAAACAAAACTAAAGAGGACATTTTATTTTTTCCATCTGGAAATTTGTCACATTTTAGACTTAAAACAAAGCAACAGTCACATTCTCAATTACAAGTCACTGACAGCGCTCAGCTAAATAGGATTGCTAATTTGCAGCAGTAGCCAAGGCCATGTATGGCCCAGAATGGGGCTGCTGTGCAGTCAATGGCCAGGGCACGGCCTCGATTAGCTGTTTTCCCATTCCCTTCTCCTTACGTGGCTTTGCACAGGGATTGCTCTGGAAGAGGTTTTGTCCGAGTTTTCAAGGTCATGCTCGCCGCAAAAAGTAAAAATGCACCATTGTTTTCCTTTGTTTTGATAACCGTTCAAACCCTGCCAAATTGTTGTCATGCTAGCAGCCAGAGAGCTAGACCCCAGCGGGTCTGAACCCAATCAATAGCCTGGTTTAGGTCGTTTAACATGAGGAAGTGAACTGCTGCCTGTGTGCACTGAAATTAGGCTCAGGCTCGTAGTTTCTTGATGCTGCAAATCCATAAGCACCAAATTCTCTGGAAGCTTTAGAGGGCCGTTGACTGCTGTGCTGATGTAATAAGGCACTTCCCTGGCTAAAGCACGACAGGGATCGTTTTATTCATTTAAATAACAAACCATCTACAATTTCTTTAGCAGAAGAAGTAACCGGCAGTGACCGAAGCTTATCGAAAGGTCTTTTGCAACTCACTCTCTCAAGGCTTGTTTATCTGGTGCATACAATTTGTTCTACGAACCATCTCCTTTGTAATGGCACTGTACGTTATTCAGGCTAACAGCATTGCTCTGTAACTGCAGAACGACTCGTTCAGCTACAGAGCATGGACTGGCTGCAAATAGACTCTGATTTGCTCAGCGCCATGCTCTGAGGTTGCTTCATTACAGACATGCTCTGGGCAAGGAAAGCGGTTGTTTATAACCACTGGATGCAGCCGAACTGGACATGATACTTTTGACCCTGAGCTTTTTTAATTCCATGGGAGACCTTCTAAAGTACTCGTCATTCTTTAGGACTTAATAGCTTAGACCATCTTGGGGTTTTTTTGTCTTGGTTTGTAACAAGTTAAATATGCTGGATTTATTCCTTACTGAGCTCCCTAATAGGGGACGCATTGCTGTAAATGTGCTCATTGGGAATGTTCCGTCTTCTAAGTGATCTGATGTAACAGCGGCTGCTTCTACCGGTTTCTTCCATTGTACGAGTCTTATTCGAGTTTGTTTCAGCTGCATTTAGCCTTTGGATTCTTTGCATTTCCGGTGGCTGTTCTTAGAGCGCCATCTTTCCTCTTTTTTTTTCCAGTAGATTTTTGAAACTAAGCAAGCGATGTCGTCTGTTTCACTAACCTTCACCTGGTGAACTGTTGTACAGGACTTCTGGACTCACTGGGGGGGAAAAAAAAGCAAATAAAAAAAATAAACGACTCTTTGCCATGATTTCAGAGGTTGAGCTTTTTTTTATTGGCGGCGTTTGGAATCACATTGCCGTGTGTTCATCATGTGGGCTCCTAGAGGAGGGGTTTTTCCAGAAGTGCTCAGGATTGGCCCCCCCCAGTCCTGGAAGGTGCGCCATGGGGGCAACTTATCCACAGAGTCATAGGATTATTACTTACTAGTTGTATTTACCATAATGTCTAGGAGCCCCAGTTATGGCATGATGCTGTGTGAACAGAGTCCCTGCCCCGAAGAGCTTATATCCCATTGACTTCAATAGGTCTCCTCCCATAGTAACGTAAGTGATGCTTGTTTGCAGGATCAGGTCCTGCGTTTACAGTGACACCTATCCAATACCTCTTCATCAGCGCCAATATCCAGGGACAGACATGCTAAAAATTCAAGAATAAAACTAGATACCACCATAAATATGACAATTTTATTAAAATATACATACGAGTACAAATTAATGATTATAGGGCTAAAGTTCACTGTTTGTAAACAAATATATTAAAAAGAGCACGTCTTTTTTGTGATATAAAGTGCAGTTATGTTTCATTATTATATACAATGTCAGCATTATGATTTTTATAAGGCCTATGAAACTAAAGTTTGATTATAAGATAAAATTCTCTGAAAAAGTATACACCTACATATTACAAAAGGCTTTGGCTTGCACTCATTTAGGGAATGAAATTCAGCTCCCAAACATAAAAGAAATTAAGGCTAGAAAGCAGGCTTGTGGGATGAATTAGAAAACAGGTTATAGGATCCTCTGCTAAGGCAAACATAATGGTGCTTTAATTTCACATGGTTGACACTTTGACGTTCTCAATTTGAAACTCGCACAGAAAACAAAGAACAGACCTTTTAAAACAAGTGACTGTTTGGAATTAAGAGTGAATCAAATATACAAGATTCTATGTACAGCTTTTGATAATCACATGCTACCAATGTACAGTAGTAACGAAGCTTTCATGTCAGCTTCGAAACAAAATGTTGATGCCATTTCCCGCCGTTACGAGGAATCAGAATAGCAGTTTTGCAGTGCTGGAAGAAAACATCCTTACCCCAAGTTTGCGGCACATTTAACGCTTAATAATGCCGGTATGATGAGCTATCGGTAAGTGGTTACGTCAAACCCGGGAGCATCACCCTGGTGTATGTTACTTCTCCTGCCAAATGCTGGATGCTCAAAATGAGTCTACCCTTAATTCCTTCCATCTCCAAGTGCTGCAGTAATTAGTCTAATCTCTCCACTAGGAGTGGGGAGCCCGGCAGGACCTGCAGCAGGCTTTGCTGTAATACCAGTGGCTGCAGAGATTCACTTTGATTGCCAAAGCACAGTTCGTTCCAGCTTGGTCCTGACAGCTGTCATCTAGAGAAGAGAAACACATATTGGCACTCAGATGAGTGAGGTCAGAAGGCAACAGTATGAAAAAAAATTAGTCTATGTTATTAGCTCATTTCTCCCACGCTATTTAACTCCTTGCCTCCTTGGAGGTTTTATTGATCTACAACCAAGACCTCACCATGCCTGGCGCTGTACAGACACGTAACATAAAGACAGTAATGTACGTGTCATAATACACATTTGAAATGATCAGGAGTGCAGCAGTATGATGGTAAAAAATCAGAGTGAGAGACCAGCTGAACGGCAGGAGGAGGCCCGATCCAGTTCCATCCGGGCGCAGCACACATTCGTTCTCAATAAAGGGAGCTGTGGGGAATCTTGGAGCAGGTGGGAGAGTGGACAAATGAATGGGAGGACTTGCTGGTGCACCAGCATCCCACCTAATTGCTGTTTTTTTTAGCAATACTTTGCCCCTCCATGCTGCCTTCTGGCCCAGGGTCACTAAGCGCCTTGCAAACCTCACGACTGCGAGCAGGCATCTCTTTCCCTGGGTGACAGATGGGGGAGCTGGGTTACCAGAGGTGACACGGCAAGGCCATGGCAGAGTCAGGCACAGAACTCAACTATGACTCCCAGGTTTGTGCTTTAGCTGCAGGACTATTCTAATTCCCAAATCCTATTAGTGAATTAGAACTAAATGCTCACTAACACTCACGGTTTCTTTGAACCACCAGACTGCACTCAGAGAATGAGATCGTTACAAATCCCCCAGTACATTCAGAGACCAAACTCATGAAAATAATGGCAGAGCTGAAACTTACTCGAACGTTAGTGGGAATTCACAGAGACGCATGCTACCAGAGTTAGCTTGCGCACAGTTAGCTTTTGTCTTCAGGCCAGAGTTTTATTCCTTTGAAAGGCACCCCTTACTTAACACGGCCGTCTGCAGGAATAGCATGCGTGAGGCCAACTTATCCAGACACTCATGGGCACCTGCCACCATTACGCGTTTGCTGGGCTGAATGCAGATTTTTTTTCAGTTGGAAAAAATACAATATAATAATACTACTCGTATATAGCTTGGACTTCTGATGTAACTGATAAACTTCTATAAAACACCCCTGGTACAAAAAACTGAAACTGGTATTTAACCAATAAATACCAGAAAAACACTGGAAACGGTGACTCAGTTTGTGTTGACCTCACCCCTTTCCCAGTGCAGTTTGTTTATAAAGGGGCTGTCTCTGCACCCTAGTTTGTATTGAAGGGCTTGTCTACAGGGAGCAGTAATGGAGTCTACAGGATATGAGTTCTAAAGTGTGCTAATGTGTTATGCATTAATTGGTCCATGTAGACCCTGCCAGTGTGCTCTGAATGTGCCCTAGTGCACTTTAATGTAGTGTTGTTTGAAACAGTACCATGTGATTATACAAACAGCCCCCAAACCCCCCGATTATTGCTATCTACAGTACACTCAAAAATAGCTAAAACAAACCCCCCCCCAAATTTAAATTAATAAATCCAGAAAAACCCTGTAGACGGCGTCATTTGTCAGTAAATTTCAAAGCACTTTACGAAGGTCAGTATCATCAACCACATTTTAAAGATAGGGAAACTGAGGCACAGAGCCTTGCCGTGACTTGCCCAACATCACCCAGCAGCCCAGTGCAGAGCCAAGAATAGAACCCAAGTGTCCTGGGTCCCAGGCCTGTGCTCTGTCCCAAAGCCATACAGCCTCTGCTGCATCTAATTGCACAGTAGCTAGTGGTCCTCATGAATCAAGATGCATGCATAGGTCCCAAATCACTGTACAAACAATACACATACATTGCCACTGAAAAGCAGCCATCTCTGGGGTGGAGGGCAGCTACGAGGCATATGACAAGTGCCCCGAGCACTATGTACCAATGAGGGGAAGTAACATGTGGGCCAGATTTCTGCTCTTATGAAAAGTGCCACAGGACTGGCGTGGAGGGTGCTTAGCACCTCGGAGGATCAATGCACCTGGGAAGTAGTAGTGTGAAAATGGCTTATTCCAGTTTAGCTTAAGCCCCTTCCTACGCAACATAAGTGAACCAATAACGGCCACTCCTAGAGCAGACTGTGTCCCACAGGGGTTAGACCGGTATAACGATACCTGTGTACCCATATTGGTTTAGCCTGTATAAAGGTATAATCTGTATAAATGGTAAAAACTTTCCCATGTAGACAAGGCCTTAGTCTAGCTCCTGTTCCTTACTGGCTTGCATTGAAAACACAGCCCCAAACCCTGTCTTGGCAACACAATCTGGATTCTTTCTCCTCACCTGGTGGCTCAGTAGGGCAGGGCTGCAGGTCACAGGTTTGTTTACCAACAGGCTTCACAAGCGGGTCACAACCACGAACAATATCTGTGCCCTGGTAGCACTTCACATCTCGCATTCTCACGCCAACGCCGCAGGTTTTGGTGCACTGGGGAACAGAGCGAGACAGAGATATTGTTGGCAGAGGCAGCAGGCCTCCAAGGGCTGTGCACTGAAAACCTCGACTAGACACTGACGAGCCCTGTTTTTGGGGTGCACAGCGATTCACTGCTCCCCTTTCAGAAAGAATCAAGTAACCCCGTCATGGTGCAACAGTTTTCTTTTAAATCAAATCGTTGGTGGCTGCGAAACCAATCCAAAAACCTGCCCGCCTTCCCTCAGCACAACACAGACATCCCCCCGCCATGCAAAGCCGGGCATCACTCATATCCCACATTAGCAGCATCTAGGCCTTGCTTTGACCCTCTGCACAGGGCGGTTTCATGCCTAGGGCTGGTGTAGCCAAGGGGAGCAGCACAGCACGCTGGGTGACACCCAGCCCTCAACGACCCAGTCCCCTCCGTTTTTGGGATGTCAGCCGAAACAGGGCCCGTGGCTCGGTGGGCCTTGTTCAGATGTGGCAAAGCCAACGCCACCTTGAAGCACCATGCACGGCTATTGTGCGAGGCAGGACAGAGGCTCAGCTGCGGCAGTTGGGCCAGGAACCCCCACAGCCAGACCCAGCTTTTGGGGTCTGGAGTCTGGCCACCGACTGCAAGACAGGAGTTGGCCTACAGCTGCTCCTGACACGTGGTTGAAACCAGAGTCAGGTGCACGGTTGAGTTTTCACGCGGTTAGGGAGTTAACTTGTTACACAATTTCCTGGGATAGATTTAGGGATTTCGTACATGTCATGCCCGAGAAATAGCCCCGGTGACTGGTACACCCTCATTCATCACAGGACAGGCTGTAACAGGGCAAAGCTTCTCAGCAGTGACCCCTACCTATGTGCCTCAACCCTGCTCTGTAGGGACCATCTTTAGGCACGAGAGGTCAGCTCCTCCTCCATGCACCATTCAGGCCGTGCTCTCTCTTTGCAGAGAGGCGAGGGGGACTTCACACTAGCAGTAGCGAAATGGGGATGCAGATGGCTCCCCACTGGGAACTGCCCCAAAACTATCAACAAAGAGACAAGGTGGGTGAGATCATATTTTTTATTGGACCAACTTCCATTGGTGGAAGGGCCACGCTTTCCCTGTGAAGCTCGAAAGCTCATTCCTCCCTCCAAGAGAAGTTGGTCCAATTAGTGATATTACCTCACCCACCTTCTCTCTCATCTCCTGGGACCCACATGACAGCAACAACGC